TTCTCAATTTCACATACACATTTATGGTAGGGGGGATTTTTAGTGATCAGAAAATGCAAATTCACGGTGTTGCTATGCTGCTTAAGCAGATATGTCGAAAAAAAAGAAGAATTAGCATGTGCAGCTCTGTTTAGAGGCGCTGTGACAATACTGCTACGTGCTTGTGACTGTGGGCCACACAACAGCGATCCTCACCACGGAGCAAAGAAACAAAGCTTCTACCTTGAGAAAAGACTTGTTCTCCGTGCCCAAGCCACAGGAAAAGCTAAGTTTGATGCCAGTGTACATGTAGTTTTTAAATCCACCTTGGATATTTAAAAGTATGCGATTGATGCTATCTACACAAATGGAGGCATAAATAGTGATGCCTGAAATACAACCCGTGGCAGTGTTCACAGAAAGCCAGTTTGCTCCCGCCGAGCGCTGCACGATGCTACCTAAGCATCTCCTTGCAGGGGCTCCAAAGGATTTAGCATCGCCTCTCGCTGCTGCTGTGGGCACCAGCAAGCCCCAAGCCCAAGGGCAGGAAACCTGCGAGGCGCCCAGCAGCCCCAGCGACATCCCTAGCAGGGACTTGTCCCTGTGGCCGTCAGAACCGTCCACCAGCTCCCACGTAACGCTTTTTGCTAGAAAAGGGAGAAAGGCCAGGATGTGGCTACGCAGCAAATATATTATAAAAACAAAATATGAAAGCAATTTAGCTGGAGCGCGGGCTGGCCCGGGCGCCCTGCCGCTCTTTAACCCTTTGCTGGCCACGGCCGCGGCCAGGTGAAGGGGCAGGTGCCGCGTGGGGGACGGCGACCGGCGGCTGCTTCGGCTCTGCGCCCCGTGGGAGCCTCCGAGAGGCTGCACGTACCTCGCCGTCCTGCGCCGGACCGAGGCGGCCTCCTCCAACCTACTCTGCTGCCATCTCCTAAACGCGGCGCTGCTTCGGTGCCCGATTCGTGCAAGCAAAACACAATAAAATATTATTTTAAATTAAAATGACTAAACACCATTTCCCAACTTTCCTCCCAAATGCCAGTGGTTCATGGGCTTGTGGGCTGAGCTGAGAGGTTGGGACGGGGGCCAACAACAGCAGAATTTATTATAAGCTGGTCTGAGTCCCTAATTGAGTACACGCAGGCCTTCTGGAAGGAGCTCCCTTTTTATTTCACCCCAAATTACTACAAGGGCTGTTAGGACAGGAAAGAGAAAAAAAAAAAAGAAAAAAATATTTGTGGCTCAATTTCCCCAGCATTTCTCCATTAGTTCATAAAAGTGGGGGGGAAAAAAAAGCGATTCCTGGAGGAGGGTGACACATGGAGAAGTCCGGTGCGGTGCCGCTGCCCCGGCACAGAGCCCGCGGGAAGCCGTAAGGGAGGGAGAAACGGGAGCACGGGCTCCCCCCAGCCCCGGGAGCAAGCGGAGCGGAGCCCATCCGACGGGAGCGGAGCCGATGGGAGYGGAGCCGGGAAGCAGCCGCCACAAGTGCTGAGCTGGTCAGGGCTCCCTTTGGTTACTCTCCTCTAAGCTGTTCAAACACTAATAAATTACCCATTTACTTATACTGCCCAGATGTTTGCCATCTAGAAAAAGAGATTATTATTTGTAGAAGGTTTTGTTCCATCGCAGGAACCCTGTAAATAATATATTGGGATCAGAGAGCCCACGCAGCACATGGCAGATTTTACACACAGCGGGGAGGAGAGAAGGGAAAGCGCCACCCTCGTCCCGTGCGACTTGGAAGCCACGTTTCAATCGAGGACGTCAGTGACCTGCTAAATACGACATTCTAGCCCTTCTCTATATGTCCTATTTTCCACAAAATCCTGTAGACCCTACAAATATAATCCCTAACTTTCACTGCTATTCTTTCTTACACAAGATTTCTTAAGGGTTTTGAGCAATGTTTAGAGGGAACTTTAGGGCTCTGACTTAAAACTGAGCTTTTAACAGCAGTGTCTTTCAAAACTCCTGTCCATTGGGCACTGAAACGCCTGTTAAATAGAAATAAAAATAAATTAAAAAAAAAAAAAGAGCGAGGAAGAGGTTTTCAACATTCCCAAATTCTGACATTTTCTCACGGTTCCGTAATTGACTTTCATTTACAGCTGTCGTGAAGTTTTGTAGGTTGGGCAAAGCAGATTTGCCAGTGAACGTCTGCATACRGGGAGGGAACTAAACATTCGAGCAGCAGTCAGGCTCTGTAGAATTACTGCTGTGCAATTAGTTGATTTGGGCCTCTGACTCTGCAGTGAGGAAAGCTCCAAATGGAAGCAAGGGGGCACAGGAGGATGGCTGCAGGTCAGCAGCTGGGGGCACCACACGGCCGGGGCCGCGGCAGGAACCGCCGGCTCGTGCCCTGCGCGGCGCGGCGCGGCCCGTCCCGGCGCGCGGCACCGCTCTGCTCCGGGCAGCCCGCGGCACAGCGGGCAGGACGCGCCGCTCCGCTCGCCTCCCGGCACCCCGGGGCGGCCTCCTGCTCGGCACGGAGGTGCCAAGGAGCCCGCGTTTCTCTCCTCTTCTGGGAACTTCCCTCTGCTTCTCCCTGCTCGGCCACCCGCTTGCTACACATTTGCTCCCCAAAACCAGGATCAGGACCAGGCGTGGGTGGAACTAAAGCCTTTCCCAGCTCAAACAGGTGACAATTATTCCACTCTATGTCACTGCTAACCAGTGCTTACAGTGCCAGAGCCGTGACAGGCGCGCTTGTCCCCAGAGGGCACGCGGCCACCTACTCGCCCCGCTGCTCGGCACGCTGCTGCTCACTTCACTGTCTTGAAAAATGAACCTGAGCATCTTCGGCTTCTCATGTGGATGCTGTAATTTAGCTGATCATAAGGCATAAAAGAGAACTAAGTGACTCTTTATCAGAGTATATTGATAAATAAAATCCATGCCAAGCATTAGAACACAAGCTGGCTTCTCCTATCAGCAGGAAAGACAAAGCAAATAGCTCTATTTTCCTCTTTTAAAATCAGCAAGCTGCACCTAAATAAATCCTTGTATCAACAATTTACCGGCATGCTTTTATCAACCCCGAGTAACAGATTGTAGCCCAGTATTTGACAAATCATCTCGTGAAGCTGAGCAGTCTCGGGGATGTGTGAGCAGGCAGCTCGCAGGCAGCCCGCAGCTCCGGAGCCGGCTGCACTCACCACCTCCACCTCAAAACCAGCAATCCCCACAGCTCTGCCAGCAGGAAGAGCCCTGGAGAACTTGTCCTCCACAGGGAAGGGAAACAAACACCCAAACAAGACATTTGGTAGCTGACAGATCTTGAAACTATTTTTGGCTTTTCTGAACTATTTCCTAGTGTAAAGCAATTGCTGCCTGAAGGAGAAAAACGCCAGTCTTTTATTCTAAGCAATTAAACAATTAGAGATTCATCTTCTATTTCCTCGAGCAACCCATGGAGCAGCAGATCGGTATCTGAACCTGCCTTTTTGCAGTCTGCAGTTCAAAAGCGCAGAGGCAGTTTCCTCCCCGCGCCGCCACCAATCCCCCGCGTGAGCCGACCTGCTCCTGGGGATTCTGCAAGCAGCGCTGCCGCGGGAGCCGCGGCTCCGGATCACCGCGGCTCCGGATCACGGCGCGGCGCCGGCCTCGCGGAGCGGCTCTCCCGAAGCCCGTTCGCCGGGCGCTGCCAAGAGCCGGTCCCGGCCCCCTCGTGCAGCGGGTTCCACATGTCAGCTCGCACGGCGCTGAGCGGCCGCGCTAACGGAGATGGATAGCGCTGTCACACGGGAAGCTGGCTCACCAGCACGGAAACAGTGCCATGCGCCGACCTTCTGCAGTCAGGAAAAAGCATCCCTGAAACAGCAGGAAATGCTGCTGTGTATTAAAAATAAAGCTACCTTCTCGCCTTGCTTTTATTACCCTGTTTTGCAACTAAACACACTGGAGCTGAGCACGAATTTTGCCTTTCCGCAGATCCGGAGCCGCTCTTGTGGAGCAGAGGCTGGCAGAGGAAATGAATCATTATCACCCCGTTTGGGAAGAAGTCTGTCCAAAAAGCCCTGCGCTATTAACCACTGCCTGGAAGTCCTGAATTGAACACTACTGCTGAACCACTTTTACTGTGGCTTCAGGTTCCTAGTAGTATGAAATAGCTCAAGGCAGCAGGTAAAATCCAAACCCTTTCCCCAAGCAGAGATACTGTTAAAATGCTCAAAAACTGCACCATTTATAGACGATATAGAAACAAAACTGAAAGTTACAGAATTCCCATCCAAACTGCATGCAATGAAATAATCTCCTCAGTGTAAGAAATTTTCATGAAATGTAGTTTGTTACAAAAAAAATTCTTCCACCCTTCCCCTTCTTGCCYTTAGGGTTTTTTTTCTTTTTTCTTTCTTTTTTCCTTAGCTGGTAGTTTCAACAGAGAGAGGAAAACTCTGTTTTCTTAAGTTTTCCCTGCTGCTGGAGAGTTGCCTCCAAGCACAAGGCACTGCAGAGCCCACAAATGGCTTTGCAGCAACGCATTAGGAAAGTCAGACCACGGAAATCAGTCTGCACTTCTAGCATTAAACTACATTTATATGCAAGCATTTATATGCACATATATGAGAGTGCATATGCATAAAAAGAGCTTRTATGTGTATAGTCTTTATATAAAACGGCACGTTTTATATACGGAAAGACTGTAACCCGCATGGAAAGACTGCACGCTGCTCAACACGGCCCCGCTGCAAGAGGGCACGGCAGGTACCCCCCAGCTGAACGTCTCGAGCTTCCACCATCTCTGTGAGGCYGCAGCTGCCTCGAGAGGCAGCACGGACGTGCCCTGAACGTGCTGCCTCATCACTGCCACCGTATGTCCCACCTGGGCCAGACCCAGCTAAGCCTTCCAGGCGGGCTACCACGGTTGGGGCCCTTGGATACCTAGTTCCAGCAAGGGCCACCACTGGTGTAACCGCCGTGCGAGTGGCGCCCGCTTTGTGCTTGCGCGGCACAGCCTCGGGCGCTCTCCGCCGCGAGCCGAGCGCGGAGGAGAGGGACAGGAACGTGATGGATACCTTGTGCCTGAGCTGCAGAGCTGTGGGAATACCCCAGAGCCAGGAGCGCTGTCTCCACCAGCTGGCTAAAGAGCACATCTTTGCGGACCAGGACGAACTCGGCGTGCTCTTCTCGATTATCGTAGTCAAGAGAGGCATCTGACTGCTCCACCACACAAAAGACGGGAATCATCAAACCTAGATGAGAAAAAGATTCAGAAAAGAAAACATCGGTCAGCAAAGAAAGGAACAAGAAGTGTGTCATACATCTCTGATTACAACTGCAAATTAAAACACCTCCTAGAAGGCTTGGTTTCGTGGAGATCTGCCTTTCTTCCCCGTGGGATAGCTTTTGTTTTCTTTCCAAGGGAAATACTGAAGTCTCATCACTTGACTCATTTAAAAACCACACTAATAGCTCCAGAGAATACAGTTTAGGAACAAATCACAGTCAGCAGGAGGACGAACCCAATTTCCTAATAAGACCTTTTCAACATTTCCAAGTTTTCTACCATTGTACTAACCACCCGTTCCTCCAGGTCGAGGTTTCCAGAACATGACACACACAGACACCTCCCAATGAGGGTCTCGTGCTGAGGGGCCAGGGAGGCTGGGGCTGCTCTCCTGTGCACACTTCTCCCCTTGCCAAGTCCCCATCATCTCCAGCAACAGAAACCCATTAATTGCTTGCATACAATTTGCTAGTCCCTGGATATGCTAGGGAATATGGGGGCAAGGTCAAAACTCCGTGTAAAGCTTTCCCACATGCACTGCCTAGAGCTGGCAATACTGCCACAAAGCTTACCTCGCGCTCCTGCTCTTTGAAATTAAATATTATCACTTCTAAATATAGTCACTACGAAGAATAATAGAGGAAATTGCTGTAAGGCTGGACACAAATCACCACATTCCTGGACTGGACACTTCTTTGTGGGAAAAAGAGGAAAAAAAAMCCCTACAATTCTCTTTCTGCCCCAAGTCTGCTGACTTGAAGATTTTCTCCTATCAGCAGCTTGAGGAGGGACCTGGTCCCTGTCCCTTCAGAGGAGGCACCTGCCCCAGGCCAGCAGCAGTGACACTGGTAGCAGCTGCCAAGGGACTTGGATCCTCCTCTCTGGGGTCTGCAGAGACCAGATTTCCTTAGAAACTCCCTGTGAGACACGGAGCTCCCCTGGGAGCAGYGACCTGCTCCAAACGCCACCTAAGTAGGTTAGGGCTTCGCGCTGATGCTGCCTCCTTTGCGCTCTCTGATTCGGGCCTAAACTGATGCATTTTGCAAGTTCAGGCAGCCCGTTTCTAACCCCCTCAGGACTATGTGGTGGAAGAAAATCCCTCGGTGCTTTCATGGGAAGTCAGTGTGAAGCTGCTCCTATTCCCACTGAGGTCAGTGATAAAATCAAAATCCCTATTTATTTATTTATTAAGTCTTGGGAGAAGATAAATAAAATAAAATAAAATAAAATAAAATAAAATAAAATAAAATAAAATAAAATAAAATAAAATAAAATAAAATAAAATAAAATAAAATAAAATAAAATAAAATAAAATAAAATAAAATAAAATAAAATAAAATAAAATAAAATAAAATAAAATAAAATAAAATCCTGTTTGTCCATATACCACTTAACTGGCTCAAAGGAATCTTAACCTCCCAGGTGACAAACTCCTGCTGCCGGTGTCCCGCTTGTCCCGGCGCTTTCCCGGGGCTGTTAACGCCCCAGCAGGAGGTGAGACCCAAATAGTGGGTGTGCGAAGGGCCTCTTGGCACCGCAGCGCGCGTGGGGGGACACCCGCGGGTGACAGCGACGCCGCAGCCGCCCCAGCTGGAGGCTTCTCCCGTGACCCAGCTGCCTTCCTGCCCTCTCAACCGGCTCGCAGGACCTGTCCGTGGTGGCCTTCCACACGGTCCCCCCTCCTGCTGCCCCTCCTTGCGGGGCCTCTGCTCCAGAGGCAGTTTTTGCAAGAACATCTCTGAGCTCGGTGACCCAGCACAGGTGATGATAAGCTGCTCTTAGCGCCTTAAAAACAGAGCAAAGGGCACATTACAACATCACTAACACCCTCAGGTGCCTCTTGCCGTAGCTTCTGGGACGGTAACACCAACCCCGCCTCGCCACAAACACCAGTAGTGCCATTCTTCACAATTAGAGCTCCCTCCTTTGCCCTCTATTTCACATTGGAGAGAGGCAAACTATAACTGATCCGGTAGATTTATTACCTCCGACTTCCCTGTTGGGTGACGTTATCGGGCAATCAGCTGGCCCTCTTTGGGCACCCTGAGGCACGGCAGACTATCAGACCAGCAGCAGGGACGACCCGCCTGGCTCTGGCTCTCGCTGCTAGGGTGCTGCACCGACCTGCACAAGCACCTGGCTGCTTCCAGGATGTCTGACTCCGTGCGGGAGCGCCAGCGTTAGGGGAACGTGACACGAGATCCCCATAAAGCTTTGGGGAGAGCACAGCAAGAAGCCCTCATATTGCAAGGGTTTGCAAGCACAGTTTTACTGCTGAGACTCTTCTGAGAAGCAGAGAAAATAAGAAGTTAAATATATACCTGAGAAACCTGTGTCCAAACATACATTTCCCCTCCGTGCCCAGACCCTCTACAGATATTTTCTGCCAGGGAGCAATTCCTTCCTGGAAACGAGGGGAAAAGGCAACGAACACCTCACTCGGGAAGGGAAAACCCTGTCCTCTCCTCTGCACAAAGCAGTCAAAACCATGAAGCCAACTAAAGGAATTATCAAACCCGAGCGATGCTGCTCCCCGGAYGATGTTCTTGCCTGAAAAGATTTACAAATAGAAGCTGCAAACTTCTAACCACCAACCAGAAGGAGAAGACAGGGCAGATATTTAGGGAGCCCCGCGCTGTTTCCCTTGCTCATTTTCCAAAGACACGCTGCCCGGGGCCATGCTGCAGAGCGTGTAATGAATCCCAAACTGTGAGCACCGGACTTCTTGCGTTATCCCTGCCCCATCAGCACCACGGAGGYGGCCCTGAGCAGCGAAGGGACACGGAGAGCCGAGGAAGGAGGAAGGCAGCGCCACAGGCAGCCGCCTCTCCAGAGGGAAAAGAGGGAGCGTGGCTGGTTTGTCCTAATAACCGGAGCGTGAGGATCCGCCGGCGACCAGGGGCACCCGTAACATTTGTGTCTTTCTAGATTAAAATCTCTTTCCATCAGCGCAAGTTTTGAGCCCCGTCTAGGTGTTATTTAATTTAATCTAATTTGAACAATTTCCAAACATCAGCTTGATTAATTTCAACAGCACAGTGTTGTGGAAAGATTTACTGTACAGGGGTTGTCTAGCAGGGAATTAATAAAGGAGCCAGTTCTTAGCTCTGAGTAACACGAGGCTTTAAGGCTTCCCGGATTTCTAGTGGGAATACTTCAGAGCACAAGCATGTTTTCTTCTGGGAGTGAAACCCACCAAAATTATTAAAAACGGAGATCAAATGGTGGTGTCAAACCCAAAGGAAATCATTCTGGAGTGATTTTTATCAAATGAAGAAGGGGAAAATAAAGCCTGCGTAGCTGCTGTTGGTTGTGCTTTGTTCCGAGGGGCGCGCGGAGCCGCCAGCCCCGGGCGCGCCCACGGCCGGCTCGGCAGCGCCCGCCCTTGCCCGGCGATGGGCGCGCTCCTGCCGGGGCAGCTCTCCCCAGCGCACGCGGAACGCGCTTCCCCAAGCCCCTCCGGCCTCAGGAAATGTAGGAGCTCCCACGAAGTCTCCATGCCGAGGGCCTCCAAAGCCCCGGGGAAGCAGTGCCAGGGCCGCCTCAGGGCCAGGACCTGGATGGCGGTTCCCAGAGCCAGCTGGAGCGGCACTCGCTCGGGCAGCGTCCGCTGCGGGAAGCGGCGCGGGCGGCAGCCCGGGCCTCTTGCTTGAAGTCACCTTGCTTTCCCTCTGCTCACCTCGAGCAGGCCAGTCTGCTGCTTAGCTCGCTTCTCCTCTCTCTTGCACAAATGTGAGAACTGACCCTAGATCGAGAGAGCTGCTTTAAAAGACACGGAGCATCGCCCGCTCGGCGCAGGAGGGCTCTGCGCGTCCTCCCCTCGCCTTGCCCCAAAACGATCAACTTGGGCCACTCTCGGTTCTTCAGCAACGCCCGAGCTTCTCCATCAGACACCCTACTCCCGTGCTACCCRAGTCCATCATGTTCTCCGGAAGAGCAGAACGCCCAGAAGAGCAGCAAACAAGCGGAGCRTTGGGGCCGGGCGCTTCCCCACCCAGCGCCAGGCTGCCCGTAACCCGGAGCATCAACCAGGATAGCGCACGGGCTCCTGGCACATAACCTGTTCACAGTAAACACGTGGTGCGGGGAAAGGGGCTGCCCTGCAGCCTGTCACCCACAAGCAGCGACTGCCAACAGTCGCTACGAGGCTGCAGGTTCATTGCGGCTGCACCCGGACGGCGCGGCCGGTTGTCACTCACCACCRCGCAAGGCTGTACGTGCACCCGGAGGGGAGGGTACAGCCAAGACAGGCACCCCGATCAGCATCGCCACAACTGTACTCTTATCCCCCCCCAAAGAAAGAAAAGAAAACCAAAAAAACAAGCAATTGGAGCAGAAAAAAAGTTTGGTTTGAAAATAAAAACCTTTCCTCCTGCCAACGCATCGGGCTCCAGCTTGTTGCAGGCAACACGCGAGGTACCTGACTCTGCACACAGCAGCACTGCGAGGCTGCTCAACTCCTCCTCGCCGAGCCTGTTGCAAATTATGTGTTCCAGGATGCAATTTGGTAAAGAAGGTCTCGGGCCACAGATGATTTTAATACAATGTTTGCCAAAGAAATAAACAAAAATAAAATCATGTTAAGTATTATTACTTTCTTAGGAGGACCAGAGGAAATAAAGTAAGGACAATACCTTTCTCCTCTTCAGTTATTTTTTCTGGCTCTAAATATTCAATAAATCTGCAGGCAGGAAATGCATTTCTACGCATGATATTTTAGCCAATGGTGAATGCAAACCACAAGATATTATTTACATCCTTCTGCAGCTTCCAGACCTTTCTGTGGCTTCAATTTCCCAACCCTCACCACTACCCCAGATCTCAGGAAATTTTATAAAGAAGCCATCACGGTCCCTGCAGATGTCCCCAGCCCCGGATTCTGCTCCAGTGTGAAATGCTGCTTCTCCTTCCATAGGAAATGCTCTGGGCCGCCAGCCCACCCCAAAACTTACTAGTAAGCTCGTAATTTCATTTGGTCAGAGTTGAGTTTCTCAAAGCGCCCCACAGAACGCAGAGCGTGGGCTCAGGACAGCAGAGAGGAGCACGGGGCCTCTTGCAGCACGGAGCAGCACCCCAAGGGGCAGCCCCGAGGACACCTTTCCCAAAGGAAGCAGCTGAGTTATTACAACTTGCTCCCCAGCTGAAAAAAAAGAGAAGAAAAAACGCCCCACAGCAGTGCTTTATAATATGAACTAATGGAAAATACACAGGCAGTGAAGGAAACCCTTTCAAACTAAATTGGTATTTAGAAAAAAAATTAAAAAGTCATCTTAAGCCATTAATTTCCTATAAGTTCTAGCTCTTGGTTTTGGTGACTTAAAAACAAGCTGAGGGGGCGGGAGGCTTTCTGGTTTGGGGGTTGCTTTTCACTGCAAAACCAATGGTGCCGGAGGGGCCAGGGCTCCCCGAGCCAAACGTCAACCCGCACCGCTCGCAAGCCGTGGCCCCTGGAACACCATTCAGGGTGTCACCTCTTTGCCCTGGGCCCTTCCCCGCTGGCTGCTTTGGAAGAGCACCCGCGGCAGCTGCAGCTYGGGTGCGAGGCTGGCGCAGCACGAGGGGGGACAAGCCCTGCCAGGCACAGCCCCACAGCCCGGCCATGAAGCTGGGTGGCTGTGGTGGAGGCCTCCACCCTGCTGCGCTTCCAACAAGGGGGCGGCTACCACTAGGGCAGCAACACTTACAACACGCGGCATTTTTCTGGCGTAAAGAAGCCATAGAATCTTCCTCCCATCTTCAGGAAAAAGATGGATGGAGATAAGGAGTCATAGGTAAGAGAAGCCACCTGCTCATGCCCTTCTCCTGGGAGCGCCGGGCTGCTCCACTGCATCTGCTGGACGTGTCCGTCGCTCGCGACCTACCACGCTCCGCACCGGGAACCCGGCCTGGCCACGGCAGCCCTGCTGCAGGGCACTGGCCTGCGAGGGCAGGAGGTGCCCGTGGGACGGCGGGCGGGAGGTCCCTGCTGCTCCTCGTGGTGCCCGTTTGGCYGGCGAGAGGAACGTGGCAGCGGGTGGGAAGGGGCCGGCTGGGCAGCGCTCCGGCGCGCAGAGCGGCCCCGGAGGGCAGGCGGCCCCGGCCAGCGCCGCGCGCTCGCTCCGACAGCTCGGCCAAAGCAAGCAGATCGCATCTGCTCTCCAAAGGCTGAGCTGGCTCCCGGGCCGCTTCCGGCTGCCATTCCAAAAGCTCATTCACAAAGCTGTCCGGCACGGCGCCGGAGCCAAGGCTACCGTGGGGAAGAGCAGGGCCCGGCAGGCGCTCGCAGCTCCGGCGCTCGGCTCCGGAGCGGCCGCTTCRCTCGGCCTCGCGCTGCGCCTCTCACACGGCAGCACGGCCTGCGGCTGCTGCCCGCCACGGAGCTCACCACGGAGCTCCCCYGGGCACAAGGGCTTGCTCGGAAGCCCGGGATGACGGTCACCAAAGAGCGTGTTCTTTGGTGACCACGCGGAGCCCAAGCCGCAGACAAAGCCCTGCTGCCACTGCGTGCCCGCTCCTAGCGCCCCTGACAAGTCCACGCTGCAGCTGCTAGCTGGAGCAACACACACAGACACACACAAAAAAGCCCACACTTCTGTTCCTCTGCATTTTCTCCAAGCCTAAAAAKTGGTAGGGTGTATGACAGGTCCACCTCATTTTTCTTAATGATGTTTTTATTATTCTTTCACTCAATTAAAGCAGAAATGGATATTGCATCTTCTGACTGTATAATTGTTATTGTAATCTGTTTTCGATCACTGCTTGGGAAATGGGTCCAAAACAACATAAACTATCCCCAGCCTCAGAATACAAGTCATTTTCTTTTACTACGATACTTAAAGAGACATCTATCATGTTGCTCTGCTAGCACGTTCATATTATGGTGAAAAAAGTTGTTTGTAAGTTGGGAAAAGACATTATGAAAAGCACCTTTCACTTCAAAGTATTGTATAACTCATAATTTATAACTGCGTTTCTTAATAACCATTCAAAAAATAAGGCTGGAAATTGTGCACATCTAATTTTAATATATAAATAATGGAAACGCATATAAACCAAGATATGCTCAAAATATGAATTTATATTACTCTGGATAAATAGTCTGGTTATAGTTTTGAAAATGACGTGCTTCATTTCCAATATATGCCCRTCGGCTAAATTTATGACAAAACGCTCTCCGTGAGTTTAGATTACTAGGATGGTATTTTATTTAAGTTTCCTCACTAATCTGAAGTTTCAGTCCAAATATAGAGCAAGTCAGCAACTTCTGGAGAGCGAAGTGTAGGCGAGGCACAAGTAAAGTCAGAGCAATCCAGTGACTTCTCTACATTAGACAAATTTAAAAGGAACATCTTTAAAAAAACTTTTTTTTAAAAAAAATAGAAAGAGCAAGAGAAAGGAAGGGAAAGAAGGTAACCTCGAGGCAACAAAATGCCCTCCACGTCTCTTGCCAGTTTTCCTGCTTTCCGAGAGGTTTCCTGTTCACAGAGCGCCTCTGCATCGTGGCGCTTGYCTTTAGGGAAGGCACAAGGAGCGCGTTCACGGGGAGCCGCTTCTGCGCGCGCCGCCAAGGCGGCGGGTGTGCGGCCACCTCCCGAGCAGCCTCGGCCTCGTGTGGCGCACAGTGGGACGAGTTGTTGGCATGAAGCTCCTTGGGAGCCCTCCTGCCTCGCTGGCGCTTCGGGCCGCGCTCGGACCGCGTCCCGCCGCGCTCCCCTCCGGCACGGGGACGCCGCTCGGCGCTAACCGACCCACAAGCTTGCGGCTACGGGCCGGGCATCTCCGACCCACCTTGTTTGTGAGGCTCTGTCTGTTCCCTTAGAAATCGCATAAAGCTGCTGACAGTCCTACCTTTTCCTAACATCTCTGCATACGGCTCTGATGACCACCAGCATTTGACAGGAAATGCAGAAATCTGTCTTGAATGGAGACACGACCTCTCCGCTGGCACCCAGAGCGAGGGGACGCAGCGCCCACATTCAGCCTTTTACACAGACCTCTGCATTCCTCATGCAGCCTCACTGCAAGCACAAGAGCCTCCTGCAAGGTTTTGTAGAAGTCTTCATATAGATGCAGACACTTTTGTTGCTAATACCCTAAAAATCAGAGTAAAATTGCACCTAAGAAAAAAAAAAGGGGGGGGAGGGAATAGCCTTTCAAACATTACGCGTAGGGATTTCATAATAGCGGCAGTACCAAATATAAATATATTGCCAAGAGACAAATGCTGACACTCTGGTATATTTGTAAATAGGATTAATTTTGGTTTGATGAATGCACTTAAGCTAACGCCTTTAAATCTTCGGGGGATATTGCCAGAGCTCCTAGAGGTATTTAAAAGGGAAAAAAAAATCATTACAGTACTAGTTTCTGCTACAAGAAATTCTCTGTAGCATGGGAAATAYAATTGAGATTACAAATACCAAAGGGATTAAGTATTTTCCCCTGGTTAATATTTGCATCAATGCAAGCAACGGCAAGCGAGCAAGGGCAGGCAGGAGCTGCTAGGGATGCAAGGGATGCGCTGGTGCAGAGAAGGAGCTTCGCCAAGCAAGCAGCAGCCCCACGGCCCTGCGGGCGCCGTGCTGCCGAGCGGCTCCGCGCAGCAGCGCCCAGCTCGGCGCGGCCCCGGCGCCTCGCAGCGCAGCACACCGGGCCCCTRTCCCCAAGCACGGCCGTACTCGGGGGGGAGGCAGCCACCCAGGGGCTCRAAATGCTGCCAACTGCGGCGTTAGGAACGCAATCTTGCCATACTTTACCAATTTGGGGTTATTTCTAAGGTTGAAAAGAGAGATGGGAGGCTGCTCAGTCACCAAAATAGGAGTTTTCCTTAGCAGGTCACACAGGTGTTTTGCAAGTTTAATACATGACTGCAGTATAACAGCCTTCACCTGAGAACACYGTGGATGCCACTTTGTATCAGCATCCTCCACGTCAGCGCGAGGGCAAAACCCSCATCGGTCCAACTATCACAGCTCCAAAACTACTGCGGCCCCCTTCTCACCCATYCACCAAGACATCTTTAAGAAAAGCAGCGATAAACGTAGGAAATCTCAAAAATAAATACTCAGAGTGGTCTCTGTCAACAGCATTCAAGTCCAAAAGCACATTTCCAAGGTATCCCAAGGCGATACCACCCGAGATGCCGCGCTGCAACCTGGACACTTGATGTACGAGTTGCGCG